AAAAAAGATTTTCTTACTAGCATTATGGTGGTTCACTTTCAGGGTTTTATTTTGTTGAAGACATAAATACAACAACAATAACATACCCAGTAAAATCCCACTAGTAGGGTCTGGGGAGGGTAGGATATACCTTACCCCTACCCCGGAAGGGTAGAGAGGCTGTTTCTGAGAGACCCTCGGCTCAACAGGAGATATAATAAATTCAAAAAGACACGAAAGGAGAGATAGGTAACAACAAAAAAGCAAGAGAAGTGATAATAATATCTTAAAATAGACCAAATAGGTGAAAGGGAGTGCAATAATAAAATCATATGCAAAATAACAAAATAGTGCGAACATAACATATACCGCTAGCAGACCTAGGCATAACTCTATCAGACTACCCTGTACAAAGAGGGAAAAACTATGAACTACCCCTAGCCTACAACCCTAATGCTCGACCTTCACGCTTTCCTATCAAGAGCCATGTCCTCGGAAATCTCGAGTCGCGCCATGTCTTGCCTGATCACCTCTCCCCAATTCTTCTTAGGACGCCCTCTACCTCTTCTCGTACCTTCCAAAGTCAACTGCTCGCACCTCCTAACCGGGGAATCTATGGTTCTCCTCCGCACGTGTCCAAACCACCTAAGCCTCGCTTCCCGCATCTTGTCGTCCATAGGAGCAACGTCCACCTTCTCCCTAATAACTTCATTCCTTATCTTATTCCAGTTTAGTATGCCCGCACATCCATCTCAACATCCTCATCTCGGCTACATTCATCTTCTGGATATGTGAATTCTTAACTGGCCAACACTCAGCCCTATATAACATAGCCGGCCTAACCACCGCTCTGTAGAACTTACCTTTGAATTTCAATGGTACTCTCTTGTCACATAGGACTCCAGATGCTAACCGCCATTTCATCCACCCCACCCCAATGCGGTGCGTGACATCCTCGTCGATCTCCCCATCACCCTGGATAATAGACCCTAGGTACTTGAAACTTTCTCTTTTGGGGATGACTTGTGAGTCGAGCCTCACCACCCACATTAAATTAAATTAAATTCGTCGTTGAAGACATAAATAAATAAATTAAATTGTGCCCTCTTAAACACCTTAAGCTTTTAGATGAAATAATCACACATTTCACCATTGTATCATAGCAGACAAAGATCCTTAGCTAGAGTCTTGATAAGAATGGACGTTGGGCCTAACTCAACCCCAAAAGCTAGCCTGTGAGGTGAGGATTGCCTAAGACCATATAAGGAGACCAAGATACCCATAACCCACCGATGTGGGACATAACTCAACACTCCCCTCACGCCCAGGCCTGCAACTGGAGCGTGGACAATATAAACGGGGGCCCAACATATGTAACAATAAACTGGGATGGGCTTGACTCTGATACCATGATAAGAATGGACATTGGACCTAACTCAACCCCAAAAGCTAGTTTGTGAGGTGAGGATTGCCTAAGACCATATAAGGAGACCAAGATACCCATAACCCACCGATGCGGGACACAATGGTGACAAAGTGCATCAACGTGAGTTGGAGACAGGTGCTTCAACAAAATTGGGTGTTGGTGACAAAGTGCATAAACGTGAGTTGGTGACAGGTGCTTCAACAAAAATTGAGTGTTGGTAACAAAATGCATCAACATGAGTTGGGGAGAGGTGTTTCAACAAATTGCGGGATGGAGACATCTGCTTCATCAAAAGTGAGAGTCGAAGAGAAGTGCTCCAACATAACTGCACAACGAACAAGTCAGACGTATACAACTTTGAATTACGGGAGAATGTTGGAAAACTAATTCAAAATTGTAGTAGGAAACTTTAGTTATTTAGGATTTGATTTATTTAATTCATGTCTAAATATGATTTGTTGTTAGAATAAATATAGGAATAGGCTTTCATGTTTCTAATTGAAATAGGTTTCATACTATTATAAATAAGGGTATTGATAGCTTATTTTATGTGTGGAGGAAATAAAGAATTGTAGAATAAAATATTTTCCTTCAAGTCTCGACTCCATCTACTATCAAAAAGAATTCTCACGTGCGTTGGCTGAAGAAAATAATCAGGCTTGTACATGAGAGAATTGTATGATATCTCTAACAACTTAAGCTTTTTGATGAGATAATCACACATTTCAATAATATTTATTCTGTGTATATGGTTAAAGCTAATGTAACATTGGTATGTGTTTGCTTCTAGGGAGATTCTATAGCATGTGATATTACAGTGGGAGATGGTTGCACCACTGTTTTGACCACTCAAGCTTCTACTAAGGTTAAAGGCTTTGGAAGTTTGATTATTTGTAAATAGATAGGTTGATTACTTCTTCATGCATAAATGTTCTTAGCATGGCGCTTCGGAGCTTCTTACACGTTTTATTGATATAGTAAAATTTCTGCTGCAGGTGTACAAAGCCGTGGGATCGAAGAGCTCTGAACAAGTGTTGGAGGTAATGCAATTATGAGGAAATGTGTTATAAATTGTTCTTCTTTGTGTGTTTTATAGGTTTAGATCTTCTTAGTGCATTGTAGATTGATTCCAAAAGTTTGGTCCTTGTCTACGGCAAGAAATTCTAATATCTACTGAATGCATACAAACAAAAAATCAGGTCTTAGTAACAAAATTATTTTATTGAACTTGATGATGCAGAATCAGTACACGAATGATAAGTTTTGGAGAGATAGCTGAAGGAGAAGAAAAAGGAAAAGAAAGGGAAAAATGAGAACGATTAGGTTGAAATTGTGTGATAGTGGAGAGTTTGAAAGATTTTGTGTTAGTTAATAGGGAAACATCACGAGATGATAGATTGTTTTGGGTAACTTTCTATAGTTAAACTTATAAATGAAAAGACATGAAAAAAGGATACATAACAGCTTCCACTTCTAAATACAGCCATAAGAAAAGGACACTATAGTGTGATCGTTGGCTCTAAATTATATAATAAGGTATCCATCTGACATTCTTCAACGCCAGTTCCAATTGATTAGGAACAAGACAGAGGATATATAGCTTAAATTCTCTTTTTTGGTTAACGGATGACCGATAATGAGGCTTATTGGAGAACATCTAGCAAGTTCTAAAGAGCATATCATTATCTTCTTTTGGTTATTTGTTCTTTTCTTTGGGCTCATTTTAACTGTCTCGTTTGATGCCTAGCTAGAACTCTTAGTAAAAGTGGCTGTTTATGCCATGCAGTAGGCAAGAGTAGGAAGCAATGCCTTTTTGGCTGTAATTCCAGATCCAGTCACCTGTTTCTCCACAGCAAAATATTCTCAGAGGCAAGTGTTCAAAGTTGTCTCAGACTCAAGCTTGCTTCTTGTCGACTGGATAACTAGTGGCCGTCATGAAAGAGGAGAAAAATGGGACTTTGATCTTTATAAGAGCACGAATCACATCTTTCATAATGGTGATGAGCCTTTATTTCTTGATACAGTAAGGTTCTTCCTTTTATAAGTAAGGTTCTTCCTTTTATCAGTCCGGAATTTTTTACTTAATGTATTGCAAGTAGCATAAATTCTTTAATAAAGTAAAACTGTATCAGCTGTTTTTCAGTCTGCTCTTTCCGTAGCAAGACATCTGGATGATAGTCACATAAGTATGAGTTTCTCCTTCAGGCTATTTGAAATTTAAAAATACTTTGCGGTTTTTGCCTTAAACCTGTCAAGCAATTCTTTTATTGCCTGCATGTCAAATTAAGAGTTTATTGTTGTTTTTTCTCTTTAACTTGACTCCTCTCTTGCATAACTTGCTCTGACTAGCAATATTAACATGATCTGGATATTCAGAGTGACTCGTGAAGATCATGATTTTTCGTTGTAAGCTGCAGCCGCTTACTGTTTTACCTTTAATCAGGTATTCTTAGAACAAGGAACACATGCAGGTATTGCTGAACGTATGCAGGACTATCAAGTGATTGCAATGGTGATACTATTGGGGTATGTATAGGTTACTCACCGTGTACTTAAAAAATCTTTACTCCCCTGTTGTCATTCTTTTTCCTGTTTCTTATGCAATTTTTAAGTCCGCATTTCTCTTTCTTGAATGAAAAGGAAGGAAGTTGCATAGACCTATCCATTTTTTGTTGCTTGTTTGCAGGCCAAAGTTGAAGCTTATTCAAAACCAAATCCAGGAAGATGTAAAGAAAATAATGTCTCAGAGTTTACACATGCCTACAATTGGTTCAAGACAGTACAGTAATAGACATACTGATCACTGCTTGACCAAACCAAGTTTTGTTGCTTCCTGCAGCATATTTGGTCCAAAGGTATCACCCACCGACACCTACTCCATTTCTCTAGTTGCCTGTGAATTTCAGGTACTAGTGTTTGAGCATATCCAGTTGGTCTTTTAGCAGATAAGACCAATCCTTTTTTTTCCAATTAATGTAGCATACTTAATACGTTTTAAGCAGATGTCATTTCTATCTGCTAATTGCTTTAAGAACAAAATCAACCCCAGGACGTTTCAATTCGGGTTGTGCAAGTGTTGCTTTCTTTTTCTCTTTTTTTTCCCTCACTTTTTGGCCCCTCTCCAAGTTGGTCTCCAGACTTCAAAATACCCGCCCTATTTAAATTTAATTGCTACTCCATTATTTTCTGTAGGGAACATAAAATATTAAGTTTCTCACTTCTCACAATTTTGTTGTACTGAGCTGTAATAGTCACAAAATATGATACTGATAATAGTACCATCACCTAACTTTTATATCCGTTAGGCATCCTGTTAGGAATTTTTTTCTACTGCATTTTATTTCATTTCATAATTCCTTTAACAAAGTGCTGTGGCATTTGATGAAAATATTGTTTACTACTGTCTAAGAAGTAAATTTTTTTGGGGAACAGTACTATAATCCAAACTTGCTCTTCTCATGCTGTAAATTTTGCCGAAAATGAAATTCATGTGACCATTTTAAAGTGCCACCAGAATTCACTTCCATGCTATGCTAAAGAACCACATAAAGATGGCATGTTACATTCCCTTCATAAGAGATTTTCACTTGCAGGGAATAGGTGTTGTTACTCGAATTGCTGCCATGACAACTGAATCAGTTTACAATTTTCTGCAACATCAGTTGTCCAGTATGGAGCCACTACTTGGTGTCAAGCCATATTCTTAAGCAAGTCGATAAACATTTTCCTGTCAAATACCATGTAGGTAATGTTTGTTCTATCAACCCTTTCCGTTTTTGTCAATATTCAATAGCCAGTTTGCCATTTTGTTTGTAATCATCTGCAGAGAGTTGATTGGATGTATAGTTGTTTTGCATCCAGATTGACAACCAGCACTACTGTTCTGGTCATGTTTTTGTGCTTTATGGGGAAATAAAAATGGTATAGGATGCATGAAACTAACCCGGGTCCTCAATATTCTTGAAAATGCAATTTGTCAACTGCCATTCTTTTTGCCGTTTTGCATAATTAGCCAACATGGAAATAATGGCAAGTCTTCTTTTATTTGGAACTAGTTGAAAGGAAATTGTGTACTAAAGTTGTTCTTGAGTGCAATAACAAATTCTTTGGAGCTAAATCAGGAGAAGATCTTTTTTCTTTTTTCTACTGTTGGTTGGTTAAAATTACTGTACTTTTGTTTTAGTTCCTTTTATCTCACTGGGCTTTGACATGTATTATAGTGTCTAAATGTTCACTAGCAGGATCATCCTAATTGCAGGTTTGAATAACTTTTCTTTTTTTAATATCAGGAGGAAAAAGTTCACACTGTAAACTGTCTCTGGCTAAGAATGCCGCGGATGGATCACTAGCTTTTGAACATCGGACAACCATTAAGGTGATTACTGTCATCAAGATGGAGACTAACAGTACCAGCTCAAGAGCGTTTAAATCGTATAATTAAAACTCTATTGTTTCAATCTTTCACCATGCCATCCAAATATGCTAGAATGTAACAGTGGAATCAACCTGCTTTTGAGCTCTTTCTAATCGGTGACGAATGCTTTTTCGAGACAGCTTTAAATGCAGTCCACACTTCTCCAGACCTCTCTATATTTACCAATTTATATCTCTACTAAAAATGCGAGTACTTTCATTAAGTAGTTCATGGTTTTCCTAACTATTTTAAGTTACTATCCATTTATTCTTGGTAAAATCTTCCATTATTTCATGATTTTCTACCCTTGCTAGGTAACTTAACTTACATTGTATGACATTTGTATGAGTTGCCTCATTGGATATCTGCATGATGTGTGGCTAATTAAGCAAAAAGTGTACAACTGATGGGTTAAGTCTTCTTTTTTTGGGGTTAATGAAGATAATATACAGTATTAACTATCTGATATTACAAGACGAGGAAATTTACAGCTACAGGTAGTATCAAGAAAGTTAAATATGAAAGGAGTTATAGCAAAATGGAGAGGACTATAATACGGGCGAAACTTCGCGTCCATCTACCTATGGCTTCCCTGATGAAGTTACTTTTAGTATACTGCGAATATGTGTGGGTATATATTGGTAGTTTCTCATTTTCAATGAGCTTGATTACTACATGCGAGTCCACTGTAATCTTCAATGGCGTGAAATGTTTTTCCTTTACAGTCTTCAATGTTAATGCATGTAGAGCATGAAATTTCTTTAAGGAGCTCGTGATCCATGCTGAATTACTATTCCTAACAACGCCTTCCACACCTCCCCTATTGTTATTTATGCAAATCTTCATCAATATTTATTTTATCGGTAGAGTACCCCTAAAGTTGGTAGTGTTTTCCAGGTGCACGCCTGAACTAATTCTTGTTCTAATTACCCCTCTTAAGTTGATATATTGACAGCCTTGAACCCCCCTACCTACGAGTTAGACCTCACTGGAGTGTTTACAAATTACAATCACGTCCACATTATAAATTAATTTTATGTGATGTCCACCTAGACAAAATAAATTATTTTTAAGTCTAATCAATTTAAAAATAAAAACCAATTGGAAAAAAAAGGAAAAGAAGAGAAAAGGTGATAAAAAAACTAAAGAAGTCTTTCAAACAAGGGATCTTCAGTCTCTCATTTCTACACCATATCGTAATGGCAACAAATTGAACCTGCTAAAGCCAAATAGTATAAGTCATTACTATAAAATCATCAATACTTTCAATAAAACTGCAAAAGAATTCAATATAATTATTGGAAGGACCAGTAGTATAAGTCATGAGCCAATAAGATTAGATTTATAAAGCTGAAAAAAGGATAAATACAATCTCTATTTGAAGTTTACATAAACAGAAATGAAGTCCTAAACTACCACGAACAAAAAGGTAGCTGGAATCCGGAATGTGGGTACGTTTCCAATGCAAGACTTTGTCTTCCACATCTGATCTGCTCAGCTCCAGAATCTGCACACAAGGTATAGAATTATAGTATGAGTACAATTGTCTACATGTACTCAGTAAGTATCTTGGCTAACCTCAGAGAAGTAATGACGAGGTTTTTATACTCACTCTGCAAAACCTGTGCATCTCAATAACATGTATAATACGAAGAAAATATTCCAGAAAATCAATTATAGAATAAAGATTATCAGTAGTAAAGGTGCACAACTGGAATAGGGTAATAAACAAACTCTACCAACTAGACATGTTCAACAAATACAACTTGCACCAATCTCGCTCACTAAGAGGTATGCACCATATAATATGTGTCCTCAATACTCATACATGACTGTAAACTTGTACCCAACATGGTCCGATTCCATATCAATCGCCTCTTTCTCCCTCAATTTAGGTTTTTTTTTTTTTTAGATTTCTTTTTGAGAACTAGTTACGGATCTCTTGAGTTGTGGGTTGGTGAGAGGGTTAATGTAGTGATTTTGGTGATTTTTTAGTGTTCATTTTTGTTGCTTGTGGGTTGGAATTACGATTACGATAGTTGAATATTTCACTTGTATTGCTGACTTTTGTTTCTACTTTAATTATCTACTTGGTAAGTCTACGTATAATATTTGCTTCTTCTCCATTATTTTCCATTCATATTTATTTTTTCTTTGAACATTTTTTGGTTTCTTCTCCGATTTCTTGTTCTTAAGTTTTTTTCGTTTTTGCTTGTTGGATATCCTATTTTTGATTTATTCTCTGACAAGTATTAGATGATTTCTACTTCTTATTCTCTGACAAGTGTTAGATGATTTCTGCTTCTTCTATGATAAAATATTACTGTTAGTTTTATGCATGCATGGATTAGAGTTTTTACTAATCCAATCAAACAAGATCTTTGGAATGAAGTAAATGACTAACATGGATATTGAGATTGATTTGGGATGAGCTTTTTACATTCCTGAAGGAGTTCTAAAACTTGATGTAAGTGATTTTTCTATGTATTAGATAAACTAGTTTATATCAATTTGGAAACTCTCTTTTTTCCTTTCATTCTTTTCAAGTAGTAGAGAAACATTAAAGTAACAAAAATGATGTGCATATATATTAGGGGCCGGAGTAGGATCCTATAAAACAACTAACAAAGTGATCTTTAACTTAGAGTTTTTTTTTAAATAAAGAATTTTATTTTCTTGTAATTAAAATTTCTTATTATTATTGTGAAAAATTAAACAATACTTTTGGTTGATTACTTGTATTTGGTACGACCCAAGATAGCCAACACGTACTTTGAATGTCAATTGATGGCTACTATTGCAATGGGGAGACTATGTGTGTAATTTGCCATCAAATAAAGACTATATGTAATTGGAGGCTAGACTTGTAAAAATTGACTATACTTAGCTCCTTAGAATTAGCTTAGAAGTATTTGGGTCATTTGTAGCCAAATACTCACTCTAGTATAAATAGCCCTTAAAGCTTTTATTTTAGGTAGACTTGATGAATGATAAACTTGAAGACATGCAAGTCTCACACTCTATCCTTATATTTTAATTAATGAATTTATGTTTATGCATTTAATTCCTTTATTGCTTTGTTTATGCTTTCATTAGTGCTAAATTGGTCTTAATTGGTGAGCAATTAGTAGTGAATGTTTAATTGCTTAATTACTTAATTACTTATCCCGATTTTCAAGAGTTGTCAATCTCTTGAGGGTTTTTATAGCTTAGGGTTACAATTGATTGAGTTCGTAGAGGTAATTAGGCTTTATATCCTAATTGTTTCTTGTTCTTCCAATCAATTGAAGGTCTAGCTCTTATTTCCGTAGCTTAGGGTTACAACTGATTGAATTCATAAAGGTAATTAGGCTTCATATCCTAATTGGTTCTTGTTCTTCTAATCAAGTGTAGGTCTAGCTCTCATTTTTGATTCCGCATGTTTTGCTATATCCGTATTTTCGTTCATAGTTTATATCAGTATTGGTGGCTAAATATATGTGTTGTGGCTGGGGTAGTCACATGACGACATACTTCACATTTTAGATGGAAATGTCAGTTGTAGAATTGAACATGTGTTTAATATTGACTTTTACCGCTTGATTGATTATGATAATTTGGGGTTAGTAATAGGGAAAATTTATAGTATTTCTTCAAAAAGGATGGTGGCATGGTAGAATTAACAAAATACATAAATTTATTAGTTCCTAAAACACACTCTATGTGATGCTTGTTATTTTATTTCAACTTTATTCCTCGAGACTTCAAAATTATCAAATAATACGCACTTTATAGTTTTAATTTCATTTTCAATAAATTAGCAAAAGAAGTTTGTCTGAAGTATAAAATTCAAAATATATATATACTAGATGGGATTGGCCTGTGCAAGCCCGGGCCCAACACCTTGGATAAATAATATTGTAAAAATGTGAATGACATGTATTTATGTTATGCTCGTATAAAACAGATATTAATGTATAAAGTGAGACCAAGCAGACAACAACAATGATAAAAACACAAACGTAAAAGATTAAGTCCTCATCAATAGAAATAACAATTTAATATTAGACATGACAATTGACATCATAGCCCATTGATTGGGATCGGATGGTTCATTTTCTCTGAAAATCATGTTAGACGACTTCATGCTCGTGCATAAACATAATTTTGTTCTTTTACTCTTGCAGTCTACAAAGTATGAATTTTACGATCCAAAAGCTCCCTTTTTGATATCTCCTAGGTTACTTCTACAACCCAAAAAAAAAGAGAAAGAGCACAACTTAGTTTTTCCTTTTCTAAGTGACTACCGCTATATTACCTTATGGCTGATGCCACTTGTCGTTCATACATCTCCTTAAATTTTCTATCGCTCTCTATAATTTGTATTTTGTCCCAAGGTAACATTGACAAATTTACTAATGGGTCGCAGCCTTCATTAATCTTCGAATACTAATTAAAACAGAATGTCCAACCTAATTTGCTAATGTGTCTGACTCTTAGGAGGTTAAACAGTTAACAAAGCCACTATAATCGTGGTTCACCTACATAATCTGGGGATCTGCTACGTTATAGAAATATATGCTATGATAGATTGTACTGTGAGAATTGCTTAAGTTACAGAAAAACCATGAAACTTGGATAAAAAAATCTTTTTGTCCCAAAGGTTCTTCCCTTCAATTTGCTATTCACAAGTTGAAATAAATAGTACTAATAGCCAAGAAATAACTAATTCTTCACTTAGGTTATCATCAAAATAACTTTGAAAAACTTAATGAATATGCTACAACCAGATATCTACTGTGATGCTATAGCATATTCCTTATCTGGTCTCAATTTGATTGATTTTAGACTTACACCTTTTGTATTTGATTTTATTTTCAAAATAAAACATATTTACTTTTTGATTGATTGATAAACTATGCCATTTAATTTATAGTGATAAAATTGAGCAGTCAAATCAAACTGAACTTTAAAGATGAAATAATACGAATAATCTTGAATGTTTTCTGTTAAATTCTACTAAAATCTGTGTTGAAGTTTGGCAAAATGCCAAAGTCCCACATTGGTTGGGAGTTAAGTTTGGGGGGGATTTTTCCCCTATAAAAGAAGGCCTAATGTTTAGGATTGATACACACCTCTCATTTGCCTTCTCATCTGTTTAAGGCATTTGTATCTTCTCTCTTTAGTATTATTTCACTTGTATTTTG